ACACACACACAGAGACACACACACACAGAGGCACACACACACACAGAGACACACACACAGACAGACACACACACACACAGAGACACACACACACACACACAGAGACACACACACACACAGAGACACACACACACACACACAGAGACAAACACACACACACACAGAGACAAACACACACACACACAGACAGACACACACACACACACCCTTATGTTGGAACGTGGAGTTCTTGATGGACAGCCCAGCACAGAATCCAACAGAACACCACTCAGGTCCAGATCAGAGGCCGTTCCTCCCAGTCACGCCCTCCAGGTCACTCTGTCATCACCCACGTGGGCATTGAAGTCCCCCAGTAGAGTAAAGGAGTCCCAGCTGGACCACCTTCCAGTACCCCTGCCAAGGACTCCAAGAAGGCCGGATACTCTGAACTGGTGTTTGGCTCATAGGCACATCAACAGTCAGAGTCCTCCCACCTGAAGGTGCAGGGAAGCCACCCTCTCATGTCCCGGGGAAAGCTCCAACACACAGGCACCAAGTCGGGGGGCTAAGAGTAGACCCACACCAGCTCAGCACCTCTCACCATGGACAACTCCAGACTGGAATAAGGTCCAGTCCCTCTCAAGGAGATCGGTTCCAGAGTCCGTGCTGTGTGTTGAGGTGAGCCCAGCTGGATCTAGTCGGTACCTCTCAACCTCACACACAAGCTCAGGCTCCTTCCCCACCAGAGAGTTCACGTTCCAGGTCCCAAGATCAGCTTTGGTAAACCAGGGTCAGAGCACCAAGACCTCCACCTTCAGCCACTGCCATGGCTTCATGCACCCGACTCTTATGGCTCCTCCTGCAGGTGGTGGTCCACAGGAAGACAAACCCATGTTGCTCCTTCGGGCTGAGCTTGACCGGGCCCCATGGGCAGAGACCCGGTCACCAGGCGCTCAGCAGCAAGCCCCTCCCCCAGGTCTGGCTCCAGGGTGGGGCCCTGGTAACCCACGTCCGGGCAAGGAACATCTGTAGTTCAATCTGTAGTTTAATCTGTAGTTTATTCTGTTCTTTTTCTTCTTCCTGGAGTTGAATCTGGAATTTAATCTGCAGTTTAATCTGGAGTAGAATCTGTAGTTCAATCTGTAGTTTAATCTGAAGTTGAATCTTGAATTTATCCTGTAGTT